AAAAAAAAAAAATGTGACCACCGAAACAAAAATTATATACATTGATATAATGTCATTTACAAAAATGAATACAGAAAATTTCTCTTATACATAAATGATTAAGTAAAAAAATAGAAAGTGAAAAATACTTCTCTTTTATACCTAATTAAACATAATCAAATATTGCGGGAGTTAGAACCAGAGTCAGAACTTGGTGGGACTGCTATGTTTTTCTGAGTCTTGCAAATTTTCTGCCTTTGACAGGGTGCGGTCTTACCACTTTTCTATTGTTCATTTCAATGGAAAATATTTGCGTTTTCTTCCTCTGACAAGTTTACTCCTTATCTGGATTCCGGCTTTCACAGTGGTTAAGCACTCAGCTGCTAACTGAATTGACTTGATAGACACTTGTTAGCCAATTAAAAAGGCCCCCAAAAAACTTGCTTCTTGGTCCATATCTATCAAATGTTCGTTGGTTACAGACACAAAAATCCTGTCATTTTCCTTAAGCTGAAATATTCCACCTTGATAGATAGAATAGAGTCCATATTCTGAATCTTTAGACCAGCAACTATTTCTAGCACTTTTCATCAGTAGTATAGGGTCAGGATAATTTGTGTATTTGTAAATATATTGTACCATTTGTTTGTTTTTCTTTCTGTTCTCTGCTGTTGAAACAGTTCCCACAGTTTCTTCTTCCTGAAATCTAAAATACGTTTGGGAATAGATATAATAGAACCCTGCTTGGTGGATAACCAGCTCTCCATTCCTCAAATGCAAATTGTTCAGGAACGAATGTCCTGTCCTTGAAGACTCCCAGGTCTTTATCTTGTGGCCCAATGTCTTTTCATTCTTGGAGCCTAGATAATTGTTAGAAAGAAAGAGAGAATTGTATTAACAGAAGGGAATTTGTAGCAAGAAGTTCCCCAGCAACTGCAGCCAGCATTTGTGTGTGTGTGTGTGTGTGTGTGCACACGCACATATACAAAGGATATCAAACAAACATAAAACTTCTTTCTCCCTTAATCTCATGTGCATTGTAAATTTTAATCATATTCTCTTGGGTGGTTCCTGTATCAATGTAACCTGTTGGAAGTCCCTTGCTTTTCCATACCGTGCCTGTCACTTATGCCACACCTGCTATATTCAGCTTTGAATGGTAGCACAGGGGATGGTCCATTCAGGCATACAATCTTTCATCCTAGAAAGAACTTCTATCCTGAAGCCCTACCTCCCTTCCTGAGTTGGTGAACTCAAATGGACAACCTAGAAGGAAACCAAAAGAAACATATCTATTGCTTTAAGTCTAGAGCACAGAGCTTCCTCCTGTCCTCTGGGGTCACTCCTTGGCCTTTCTCAGCTTTCCAGAGTCAAAGCCACCACCAAATCAGAAAGCATTCTTAGTTCAAAATAAGAGAACACATATTTGGCAAAGGGTACGCAGATTTAAAGATCTTCATATCCTTGAATCTTTAATCCCCAAAATCTTTGAATGAAAAAGGGGAAAAAAAATCTGTATTTTTAAACTTTGGGTCCATCTACATAATTTGTGCAAAATTTAGTTTTCATGAGCTTAAAACAACCAGTATACTTGTTGATGAGTGGTAAACAGTCACATAGTAATAATGATGTCAATCATTGATAGAATATGTCAATCATTTATAAAACATGATTTCATAAATAGCAGGAAGGCAACTGCCCTGAAATAAACCCTTTTTATCTACTACCTGATATCTGAAATGTATTTAACTTAGGATATAGCCTTTTATAACAATAAAAGTGAGTGGGTGTTGAGTGCTTACTATAGACCAGACACTTTGCACATGTTATTATTAATCTTCACCATTTTTTGAGTTAAAGAATATCTCCATTTTACATATGAACAAACTGAAGCTTAATTTGATTAAATCACTTGCTGTGAAGGAGTTGGGGTTCCAACCTGGATTACAAACTGTAAGGCCCATGCCTTATAGCACTATACTGACAATTTTTATACAGTTAAAATTAGATTTAACATACTTGGCTAAATTATACAAAACTGACATTTCTGCAAGTGAAAAATGGTCACATATTGACAATTTCCTATTGTGCAACTCAATACAAATGCCATTAGGAGCTAAAACCTAGTGATTCATAGTGAAAGTAAATGACTGACTTTATTTAGAGTGTTGAAGAGCAGGGCAATTTGATGGGAGTGCAAAGAAGGAGATAATTATAAGAGAGGAAAAAAAAACTAAAGAAGAAGAAACTCAATAATGGATCCTGGGAATCTATCTCAAAGACAAAATACTTTCATTTCATAATTTTCCAGAGATCAATTAGGTCATAGGAGTTACTGAGTCTGTAATCTTATTCCTGAAAGCAATCAATCTGTGATCCTACTTACCATTGAGCATTGTGTAAAAAGCAATGTAAATGTTTCAGATTCAGCTAAAAGTGAAACAGTAAATTGTTTGGAATAATTTTTCTATTGCTTTCTTCTAAATCAGGTATTTGTTGTTTCTCTTACTTGGAGCTGCGGATATGCTGGTTCTCCGACTGTTTCCAGTTATGTGAGCTGCTACTCTAGGAAGACCTCTTTCTCTTCCTAGGTAAGGAATATCTTGTAGCTTTTCTATAAGAGAAATGACCAAAGTCACCAACACTTGTCAAACTGCTTCTCAAAGACATTGCTGTTCATAGCTGTTGTGCACATAATGGACTTCCAAAATTGATGCCATGAGTTTTCATAAAAACAGCCCACATTTTAGTACAATGACTAATCTACTTCGGTTTAAGTTTGATTTTGAAAGATTATCAAGAAAAAGCAGTCATCTGGATTACAATGTATCAACATCTCAGAGGTCAGGTCCAAATAGTATATTAACAAAGAGAAGAGTCTGACCTTTCTTTTTTTAAAATTTGTTAAAATAATAAAATGAAATAATAACTGTGGACTTGTAATAGTCCTGCTGAGTGCTTTCAAGTGCTCAAATAATCAGTCATTGACAAAATTCTACTTTGAGTTATATATAGACACAATCAGAATGGTACCAATTTTTTGTCATCTCAATTTTTTTTTTCTCTTTTCTAACTACTACTGATTCTAAAGGAACAATAACTATTGTCCATAGATGCTGCTAGAAACTGGTATCCAACAGTCATTTTCTACCCCAAAGGAATACAAATTGATATCCTGGTCACAATATTCAGTATATGTGCCTTTAAACTGTTGATTCACTATATAATTAACATTTATTGATCACTACCCAAAGTATTTTCCAAACCAAAACCAAACTCGCTGCTGTGGAGTCGGCCCTGACTCATAGCGACCCCTCCTTGGGTCTCCGAGGCTGTATCACTGCGGAAGTAGATTGCCCCATCTTTCTTCCCAGGAGTGGCTGGTGGGTTTGAACCGCCAGCCTTCTGGTTAGCAGTCAGATGGCAACTATTTTAGGGCAACCTAAAAGAATACAGGGATGTCTGGTAGCGTAGTGTGTAAGGCATTTATTTGACTGCTAACTAGAAGCCTGGTGGTTCAAACCCACCAGCCACTCCTCAGAAGGATGACTGAGCAATTTACTTCCACAGAGGTACCACCTTCGAAATCCAAGGGTAGGGTCACTATGAGTCAAATAGACTCCATAGCAGTGAGTTTGGCATTTTTTTTTGTGGGGGGGGGGTTAAAAGAATACAAATTCAATAAACTACCATTAAAAAAAAATCCGTAGCTTCCCAGATGTCCTTATATTGTTTTAAGATCAATTATATTTTTTCATGAAGCAAACCCTTCTATGCAGGAGATACAGTGATTAATGAGACATTGATTATACTGACTGAGCCCTCAAAGGGTTGAACAATCTTTTATCTATGCAAAGACATGACTTGGAAAGTGAAAATCTACCTATGAAAAATAAAAATAAATGGTTCAGAGGAGGGAAAGAGCTGAGTTCAGAGGAGCGTTTGTGAAGATGATGCTAAGCTCCTTTTATTCACTTACTCAAGCAATGGAAGTACCCATCACATCTGTGTCAGGTGTTCTTTAGGAATAAGGAGAAGGAATCATGAAAAAATGAATATAAGAAAATGTTCAAAGTACAAGGGTAAATGTTTGAACAAGGTGAAGATGGGTGGTTTTGGGCCTACAGAGAGGGCAAAAAAAGCAGTTCCAGAGATCTCAAATCTGTGTCCTTGTCACCAAGCAAGCATGGGAAATAGATGTAAGAGGAGTTAACTCCATGCTGAATGAGAAGCCAAATTGTAGAGGATTTTGAGTGTAAAGCTAAGAGGTTTGTATTTTAAAGGATATGGAGAGACTCTGAAAGGTTTTGGTCAGGGAAGTGAAGAGAGATAGTTGTGTTTTAGGCCTACCTACCTCACAGTAAGATTTGAGGGGTAGAAGGTGGTGGGTGGAAGATGAGAGGACTAGAGGCTGGCAGACAAGTTACAAGACTATTATGATAGGTTGGGACGGATGAAATGGAGCCTTTATTTAGGCTACTAGAAGAGGGAACTGAAAGGAAGTGACAAAATGCCGCAGAGGAGGAGTGAGTGGGAAATGAGAATCTCCCTTATCTGGTATCACCTGTTAGTTATTCAAGATGGGTGGGCACTTATAGGATGCTGAAGACCAACCATGGTATGGGATGCATAGTCAATTTCATACTATTCTCAGAATGCTCACCATCCAAGGTAGTGTTTCCATTTGCCATTAAACTTCACTGTTAAATAATTCGTAATACCTTGCCTGCCCCTCAGCCTTTATACTTAGTGTTTTGAATATTCAATAACAAAATTCTATTATAAACATCTTGCATTTGAGGTCATGGCAAAAATAGGGGAAAGAGTTGCTTTCAAAACAAATTTTTTTAAAGAAATGAAATTTCCTGCTCAATCTAGCAAACATCTTCCAGGAAAAAAAAAACTTGAAAAAATATATATATTTGAGTGTTGTGGATACATCCTGATATATAGTGATGTACATGATTTCTATAATTTATTGGACAAATAAGAAAAAATATTATTCTTTCCACATTAAAAGTAGTACATGCAACAGCCATAGACTGGACCTGGTGTACCTGATCGGAACTGATGGAATGTTCAACATTTTAACGACCACTTTCACCTTAGGGAAATGATGAGAAAGAATCCTTGAATCCCCAGGACAGGTCTTCTCTTTCAGTAGTGTATTGAATAAAGGAAAATGGAGGATGTCAAATACTAAGGAAGTTTATTGCATTAGATGATGTGTTGGTTAATATTATGTGTCAACTTGGCTAGGCTGTGATTCTTAGTATTATGTAATTATCCTTAATTTTGTGAACTGATGTAAGGAGAGTTTTCTTAGGGAGTGTGGCCTGCATCCAATATATGTGAACATTCTTGCAAATCTTGTCCCACTAGATTGGCATCTGATTTGTCATCTTCTGACTTCTGGTTCTTGGAACATGAAACAGCAGTCAGTTTTGGGTTTGTCACCCACTACAACCATGTGAATCAGGAGAAGCCTCCAGCCTGATGCCTGACATATGGATTTGGGACTTGCCAGCCTTTACAACTACATCAGCCATTTCCTTGAAATAAATTTCTTTCTTTCTTTCTATCTATCCATCCATATATCTATATCTATATCTGTATCTATATCTATATCTATGTCTATCCAAGGCAACCAAACCAAACTCACTGCCATCCAGTCAATTCCGACTCAGTGACCTCCATTGGCTTTCTGAGGCTGTAAGTCTTTATGGAAGTAGATTGCCCCATCTTCCTTCCATGGAGTGGCTGGTGGGTTTGAACTGCTGGCCTTCTGGTTAGCAGCCAAATGCCTTATCCACTACCAGAGCTCCTTATCTACATCTATACCTATCCTTATACCTATTCCTATACCTTACCTATACCTATACCTATACCTACACCTACACCTACAGCTACACCTACACCTACACCTACACCTACACTTACAGCTACATCTATACCTATACCTGTACCTATACCTGTACCTGGGAGCTCTCGT